ATGAAAAAATGTAAAATTTTTGAAAGTGTGAACAAATGTTGGATTGATGAAAAATTGTAACATTGATGAAAAAATGTTAAATTGATGAAATTGTGAACAAATGTTGAAATTGAATAAAAAATTTTGAATTATTGAAAAATTGCGGAATTGATGAAATTGTGAAAAAATGTTGAAATGATGAAAAAATTGTGATATTGATGAAAAAATGTTGAATTGATGAAAAATTGTGAAATCGATGAAAAAATGTTGAATTGATGAAAAATTTTGAAATTGATAACATTGTGAATAAATGTTGAATTGATGAAATTGTGAAGAAATGTTGAAATTGAAGAAAAAATGTTGAATTAATGAAAAATTGTGAAATTAAAGAAATTTAAAAAAAATGTTGAATTAATGACAAATGTTGATATTTGTGAAACAATGTTGAAATGATGAAAAAATGTAAAATTATTGTACTATTATAAAAATATTATAAAATATTTCAATTAAATGTTTAGATCTAACTATTTTTAAATCAAGTTTAAAATTTTTAAATTAATAATAAATCTTTTTATAATTACTCTCGTTTAATATTAAAATAATAATTTTTCAATTCAATTATTTCTATGTTTCTTTTCAGAACTAGGAATTTTTTTTATCATCTACTTAAATTAAAATTCTTTCAAGAGCCAGGTAACCATTTTTAATTTTATTTTTCAATAATACCTTTTCATTTTTAATGGTATAAATATGATAATTTTGTTATTTACTTTAAATAATTTAAAAATTTTGAATAAAAATATAATCTTTATATAATTACTCTCTTTTAATAATCAAATAATAATATTTTAATCACATAATATCAGTGGCGTAGCCAAGGGAGAGGGCTATGGGGGCTATAACCCCCCCCCCCCATGGGCCGTGTTTATATGTATAGCATTGATTAAATATACTAATATATATCATTATATATTTAATCAACGTGTATAGTGTATGTACTAAAATAGTATACTACTATTTTTATTTAAGTATTTTAAACCTTTTGTATTAACTAAATTTTGACGATTAGCAAATAACAGGTGTTTGTCTTTGACGTAGATATTACAGATTCCTAACTACTAGTTTCTACCATGATTATCACTATCTTTTTGATGGTTATGCAAGTTTGTGGCGAGTCACTATCAAATATTTAAAGACGTTGTCAATATGGGAAAAAATGTTAATATTGAAATACAAATGCCACGAGTATGTAAAAGGCAAACTCAGAGAGAAAACTTTATTTCTGAAAATCCATTAATATATTTTAAATGTTCTACTTTTATTCCTTTTTTGACTATTTAATAGAATCAATGTATGCTCGTTTTAATCAATGGTTTATTGATGTTATGCCACTTGAAGGACTTATTCCGGCCAATTTAAATATGCATGACGATGAAAATATTATAAAAGCTGCTAAAATATATGCCCGAGATCCCATGATGATACCTCATCTACAATCAGAGCTGACCTGTTCATATGGGGGCAACAATGAAGTCAAAATACTATTCCAAAACCGAATTCTGCTCTTGATTCACTCTCTCATCGCACCAATCTTCGACCTAACATTAAAATACTTTTACAATTATTCGCCACGTTACCAGTTACCTCTTTCACTCCGGAAAGAACATTTTCTGCACTTAATCGATTAAAAAATTATTTAAGAAGCACTATGTCGGAAAGCAGACTAAATGGGTTAGTCATAGCTAATATAAATAAAAAAGAGCAATTCGATGAAAGTGAAATAATAATTGAATTTGCCAGAAATACGCCTAAGAGGATGCAGCTGTCAGAGTGGAGCAAGTGACTGAACACTGAAACCAAAATTATTATTATTATTATTATTATTATAAATTATATAATAATAAATATTTTTAAAACTAAAATGCTTGAATTACATTTAAAAACTTGGTAGTAGATTGTAGGGGGGTTAAGGGTGAATTCTCATATCCTCTCTTACCTTACTTATCTAAAAAAGTGAATAGCCCCTCCCATTTAAAAATCCTGGATACGCCATTGCATAATATGGAGTATAGATGAAAATAAATGGGTAATTGTAAACAAGTTACATATATTCACGGTTTAAGATACTATTACCATTTAATTAAGACACTATTTTAAACCGTGGATCCAATGAAGCCAGTATTTTCTTTTAATAACAAGCATATCTTCCATTACTTGTATGATAGCAAATTCTAATTGTTGAGATAACATTTTCAATCAATAAAAATGAATGAAAAAAATTCAATAATAAAATTTTAATTGTAATTCAAAAAATAAATACAATACCAAATGACAGTATAAAAATTTACTATTACAGTACGAACATCATAATAACAGTGATAGTGATAGACACTTTCATGATAGCATCTTATTATTCTATAATAGTGTATTCATATATATATATATATATATATATATATATATATATATTTAGTGATTAAGTTATGATAAATTAATTACTAACTATATATTGAATTTTATATATATTCCATGAACTGTTTTTTTTTTTATTCATTTTGGTATTGAAATGGCCATAAATAAACAATTTTTTTTTTTTTGTTATCTTAAGAATCAATAAAAAATTGTAGGCAAATAAAATAACAAGAAATCAGTCACTCAAAATTTTAATTGTGGATCTTATTCATTTACATTTTATACACACAAAAAAAATTAATAATAAAAATAAAATTTTATGTTTTACATTTACAACTATTTAATGATATTAATCAAACTATTTTCAATTTCATATGTGACGCAATACTTTCAGGATTTTTTTCTAAAAGTACCTGCAACAGTTTCATAAACATTTTAGATGTCAATTAAATTATGATAAAACTTAATTATAACACTAACTTTGGTTACTTTAAGTGCAACTCCTTCAGGTAAATTTCTCTGTGTGTACTCCAAAAAGGTTTCTGCAGTAGATCCAGTAAGCTTATGAAAATGAATGAATCTAAACCATGTTCTTACCTCATACTGCACTCTACATTTTTTGTGAACATGAATAGATCGCAATAATGTATATCGTTCATGATGGGCTTTACGAGGAGACCAGCTAAAAAAATATATTACATTTACATTGGTTGTGATGAAAAAATGTTAATATTTTAATTTTTTGGAATAATCAATGATTATTTTGAAATATATATTAAAATGTTATTATTTTTTAGAACAATAATAAATTGATTGATTAAAAAAAAGAAAAGTTGTTCTAAGGTGTTTAAATTATAGCCACAAATATGTTGGTTAATTTTTTTTAAAAAAATTCAATAGTTACATTAAAAATATTATTATAAACTATAACTGTAGTAAACAACTCCAATGGGAAAATAATTATTTTAACATATATTTTTAAAAATATGTTCCATTTAATTTTAATAATACAATCATAACACAAATAAAACTAAATCTAAGATACACTTTATGTATTTTTTGATGTGTTATTAAACATTAAGATTTTTTTTTTTTAATTAACCATCATAGGTCAACATTTTTAAAGAGGAATAGAGTGGTAATAAAATTTAAAAACACATAAGATTTATTCAGATTTTAGAACAATTTATATGTATTTTTAATTTTTATAATTCAAAATTTAGTTATTTAATGAGAAGTTTGGAATTGCTTGTATTTTACATAAGTAGAGCTATATATTAAAATAATTTAAAGTGCATATTTTTTCAGATTTGAATATTGACAAAATATCAATAGTTACATTTGTAAGTTATAGTTAACCTTTTAAAAATATTATTTTGAAATAATAAATGTTACATCTAATCTGTGCTTAAACCATCATGTATTGATGCAAACTTAACTATAAGTCCTTTATTTATTAATTTAAATAAAAAAACATTCAGGTTCCTTTACTTGGTCATGTATGACTAATATAAGATGTGTATACTGAAACATACCATTTTCCAATTTGAATCCCTAGTTCATTAGCTGCCATTGTAGCAAATTGAGTATAACTGCGCAATACGGCGGGGTCATTTCCACGACACTCAAATTCTATAGTCTTGTACAATTTGTCAAGTTGGTCATTCTGGAAAAAGAAACACACGGAAAATGACATTAGCTTGTGTCCCGATGGAGACCAATAGGATGAATAATGAAATACCTGTGAAACGGGTGGCAATGTATCGGCATTGTTGTCGATTGGTTGTGTCTGGCTGGCACAAAACCATCTCGACGGCGAGTTAAGGCTTGCCGACAAGAACGCAGCAGTTTTTCTTCTGTTCAACAGTACGTTTTTCAGAAAGGACGTCATTTCGTCGATGAGCATGAGATATTAGACACGTAAACGTGAAGAAAAATCGTCGAACGCGTCGAGTTATAGATGCGGGTATCATGGATTGATAGAATAACCATTATCCGCTCGGACGTTTATCACCGAGCCAAATCGCGACAACGTTATCATGCTGTTGTGGTTTGGAACAGATTTGATCACATACATAGATATAGCTATGGTTCTTATCTTCGCACGTGGTCTTTTAAGGTTACTGATAGTGGAAACACTTAAAACTTGAGTCTCGATGTATCGGACTTGAAAGTTTTCAAATTTGTTTTTAAAAACGTAACATCTGACCGATGCAAAGTAAAATTTGCATTATTATTTCATTTTAATTATCGAAATAATTGTCTTCTTAAATTGACATTGCTCTAGAAATTACAATGTTTTGTGACGAATTCGGTGATGGTTTGGACAACAACTATGTTATTAATCCAGAAAAAGATCCTGTGAATTCGAAAACATTTGGTGTTAATAAAAGATCAAAGTTCGGTAGAAAAGTAAGTGCAACTTAAATACACATATTTTTGCTTTGTGCAATACATTTTTTTATCCTCAGGAGAATGGTAACGGCCCAAAGTCTAATGGAAAAAATCAAAAGAGAAATTCGGACGACAAAAATAATGGATATGTATCTGCGATGTTTAGAAATAATCCACAAGTACCTGTAGGCGTTATCAATAAACAAGCCGAGAACCAAACTGTAATTAAAAAAAACAAAAACTCTTTGTTTTCAACTTCAACATTTAAGGATTTAACTGATCTACACCCACATATGGTAAGTTGAGCAAACTTTTCTTAAAAATATTATTACCTTATTTAGTTATTAATATCGTATGTTTTATTTTTGTGCTCTGTTAAAATTTAATTTTAAATTAAAAAGTTATAGTACAAAGCTATTTTTGTTTTGTTATTTCAAAAGCATCATTCAATAATCAGTACATACTTAATTATAATAACTAGGGTCTGGATTTTAATGCAAAAGGCACCTTTTTTAAATGACCTTAGACAATGTCTTCCAAAAAAAGTTAGTTCAAAGTTCCAAGTACTTGGTATATTTAACAAACACTTCAAAAACAAAACTTTTATTTTGTATTTTTTTTTTTAGATTTTAGTATGGTTTTTAATACATTTAAATCCAAGTCCTTATCATAACGATTAATTTTAAAAAGTAAATATTTTATCAGAGTTAATCAAAGTAATAATTATTCAAACAATAGTTTTATATATGTACAACATTTTGCAATGTCTTCAAAATTAATGTTCTGTTATTAACGAGATTATTGATTATATAATTTAAAATTAAAAGTTGTTATAACGTTTGGTTTTTTCCATTAAAGTTTTTAATATTGTAGAATTGGTAGATATCAAGCAAAACCAAATAAATATTTAAATTATTGATCATTAGAAAAATTTTAACTCATTATATTAAATATTTATAGTTAAAATATTTTTATTTTAAAATTAGTTAACCAATGTGATTTTACAAAACATATATTTGTTCAGATTAATGTTCCTGTCTAAAAGACAAATTTTAAATATTGTTTCTGAAATTATTTTATACTAAACATATTTTTTTATTATTTGATGGTTTTATATTTTATTTTAAATAATATAGTTTATTATTTAATTAATTGTATTTAATAATTATTGAGTTAATGTATAACAATAATTATAAATTATAATATTACAGCTGAATTACTTAATTCTATTTTTTATTTTATTAAAATTAACTCTTTTTAATTTGGTTCATTGTTATTAGGTTGCAAATTTAGAACAGACCTTAGGAGTGACTAAATTGACTACTGTTCAAAGTCAAGCCATCCCAGTCTTATATTCAGGTAAAGATGCTATGATTCAATCTGAAACTGGGAGTGGTAAGACATTTGCATATGCTGTTCCACTTATTGAGTCGTTACACAAGATTCGTCCAAAATTATCTAGAACAGATGGTCTCCGAGCATTAATTATTTTGCCAACCAGAGAATTGGCGTTACAAACCTATGACAATTTTATCAAATTATTGAAAGTAAGTTCATAAAATGATTTAAAATTATCAATAGTAATGTAATATATGGTTTTGTAGCCTTACACATGGCTTGTACCGGGTATGTTTACTGGTGGTGAAAAACGAAAATCTGAAAAAGCTCGTATGAGAAAAGGTATCACAATACTTATAGGAACACCTGGGCGATTATTGGACCACACAATGAACACCAAATCAATATCATTTAAATCACTTCAATGGTTAATAATTGATGAAGCTGATAGGATGCTTGATCTTGGATATGAAAAAGATATCACAAGGTAAATTTGATTTAAATTATCTAAAATATTGATATCAGTTAATAGTATTAATTAATAAATATATATTATTAATATAATTTTAATAATTGTTTAATTTTGATGTTATTATTTCTCAGTATATTATCTGCTGTTGACGAACAGCGTGATGAGTCTATATCTCGACAAACTATCCTATTATCTGCTACTTTATCTGAAGGAGTACAGCGGCTTGCAGGATTATCACTCAAAGACCCTGTTCATATTGATGCATCTTCCATAGGAGTTTCTGATCCAGAATGCTTAGCAATACCTGATAGTCTTATGCAATATTATGTCATAGCTCCTCCTAAATTAAGATTGGTTACACTTTCTGGTGTATTGTTACAAAAATTACAAGTAATGCTTCATATTTTAGAAACACATACTATTGATGTTTAATTAATAATTTTTTTTTTTATATAAATTAAATCTTTTCTTTTAGAAAGGTCAGAATTCAAGTAAAACATTAGTTTTTATGGCTACTCAAGATATGGTTGACTTTTATACTGAACTATTAACCACTGTTTTAACTTGCTTAACAATGTTTAAACTTCATGGAAATATGACTCAAGTAGAACGTATGGATGTTTTCAAATCATTTAAAGCAGCAAATCACGGAGTATTGTTTTGTACCGTATGTTTGTTTTTTGTTTTAATTTGTAATAACTCATGTTTTTGAATGAAGAAATTTAATTTATAATTTATATTTATTTTATTGTTATTGATTTTTATCTCATATTATTATTTAAATTATTTAAATCAAAGTAACATGAAAGTTTTTAATTGTATTTTGATATTAAAATCATAAAATATTTTTTAATTTATTATTGTTGGTCTTTATTATTTTACTATTCTTTATTTAATTTCTTTCATTAATTGCTAAAATAAATTAAAGTATTGAAGATTTTAATGTAATGTTTCACCAATCTAAAAAAACTGTTTGTTATAAGTACAATTAATGATGACAAAATATTTTTAGGATGTGGCATCTAGAGGTCTAGATTTACCTTTGGTAGATCGTATAATACAGTTCAATGCACCAATTACACCTACAGATTATGTACACAGAGTTGGTCGAACTGCAAGAGTTGGTCAGAAAGGTGAAGCAATTTTATTCTTGACACCACATGAAGCTTTGTTTATAGCCAAACTTCAAGATCATTCTATTATGTAAGATTTCAAACATAGTTAAGAAGAACAAAATAAAATTAAAATACTTACTTTAATTTTTATTATAATGTATTTATTTCAAAAAAAAATAAGTATATTTTATTATTATTAAATTATTAATTCATTATTATTTATAAATTTTAGAGCTTCTGAGTTAAAGATGGATAAATGTTTGACATCAATTCTTACAATGGAGTTTGAAGGGGTAAGTAAATTATCTTCATAAAAATTATTGAATGATGATTATTTATAAATGGATAATATATATTTGATATTGATAATGCAATAAATTAAATGCTCTATTAATTTCTAATTATTTTAAAATAATTTCTTAAATACTTTTAAGTAGTCTTCTATTCAAACTTCGTAATTGTCTCCTGTCACCTCTATTTCTTATAATCAAATCCTATCTAACAGATAAATATTTTCAAACTCGCTTTGGCTCCTGCATCTCAGAAATAGCTCTAATCAAAGCAGGAGTACCTCAAGGAGGTATCCTATCTCCCCTTCTATTTAACATATATGCCTCAGACCAGCTCATAATACAAGATACCCTAGTTGCTGATTACGCAGATGATAAAGTGTTAATTTCAATACATGAAAATCATCTAATTACTATGGCCAATCTTCAAATACAATTAGACCTTATTTCGCAATGGTACTCCAAATGAAGAATAAAACTAAATCACAACAAGTCAGTACACACAACCTTTACGCTAAAACACGAAATTTGTCCATTTGTATTTGTGGATTTAACTTAACCTAATTGTCTAATACCGTTAAATACTTAGGATTGACCCTCGATAAAAGATTAACCTGGGAGCAGCACATAAGGTCCAAAAGATTAATTTTAAATTCTTGATCTCGCACCCTTAAACATCTCTTAATAAAAAATAAATTTACTAATCTAGAAACTAAACTGCTCATTTATAAATCTTTACTAAAACCCATTTGGACTTATGGATTACAATTGTGGGGATCGGCCAAAAAAACTAATATCAATAAAATACAGGCCTTCCAGAACATCACTCTCTGCAAAATAGCAAACGCTCCACCATATGTAGCCAATCAAACCCTCCACAAAGACTTGCATATGAAATCAATTGAAGAAGAATCGGTAATTTATTACAAGCGATTCTTTGCACATCTAGCTAACCACCAAAACCAAACTAATCAAGAATCTAAATACTGTAACATTACCCAAAGTTCCTCGACGTTTGAAAAGGAGATGGTGCAGGGACCTCCTAATCAATCTAATAAACTCCTAACGATCTTTCCCTCGCATACACACGTATTTCTTTCCACTAAGCCATAGATAACGTAATCTATACACAAGCCTAGTGTTACTAATGGGTGACTTCTTACTCCCGTATTTCCTGATGTACTACCCTCTTCACATACACTCATTGTGCTTTTTTAGTATAGTTTGTGTAATTTGTATAAAAAATAAAAAATAAATATCTAAAAAAATAATAAAAATATTTTTTCCTCTCAGGAATATGTAAAAACAGCTGAAATGGCAGCTAATATTTTACAATCTCGTATGGAAACTGCGGTTGTTGAACAAGATCGTCTTCACGAATTGGGCTGTAACGGTATTGGCTATTATCTTTTTAATACATTTGTTTAGCATTTGTAAAATAAATTATTTGATTTGTATTTTTATATATTTTTATTATGGTTGGTTATTTATTCTATTGATCCGTTTTTGTGTTTCATAATAATTGAAATTCTTATACAAAATCTATTATACAAATATTAATTTTTAGTTATTATTTATATTTAGTGCTGAAATATTGATTTTTGTCATGTAGGTTTCAAATCTTGGGTTAGATCCTATGCAAGTTATCCAAAAAGCAGTCGAGAAGTATTTAATTTTAAAGATTGTCATCTTGGACATTATGCTAAGAGTTTTGCTCTACGTGATGCACCAAGAATAATTGGAGGCATTGGTAAACCGAAAAAGGATCCTAGAATGAAGTTAGTAGTAGTAAATTTTATATTATTTTACTACAGTTTAAAATATTTTTAATACCTAAGTTATTTACATTTTACTTACTCAAATGGAAAGCCATTAAATTCATTAAGACAGTAACAATGTCATTGGTTGTAAATTTAAGTAAGTCTATAATTTTGCTTGGGGTAAATTTTGAGAAAACTTTTTATCTTTATACCCAATAGTCTTAATTATATTAGTAAACTAAGTTTATAAATTGGTTTAAATGTATATTTTAACTTAAATATGGTTAGTTATTGATATTTTACTCATTTATTTATGATTCTGTATTATATCATTTACAAAATAATGGCATTAACAATATAGGAAAATATATTTAATTGTAATATAATTTGATCAGATTTTATGAAATAATTAATTGTTAATATTAATGTATAAGTAACTATACTTAGATACATTATTATTTAAATAATATTACTAATAATAATATCATTTTATTTGTCAAAAAACTGAATATTGAACACCAAGGACATATCTAAAACTATTCTTGGTCTACTTAATAACTTCTGAATATTCTAGAGTACTATGAGTACTCGTTTTTTACAATTTACTCATATATAATAAATATATATTCAAAGAGTTATGTTCAAACTTATTTATGATTTCTATCGTCTTAGGATTTCAGCATAAAAATATAATAGTTTCAATATATGATTTCTTATAAATTATAGTGTGTAATAATACATCATTGCTTTGTTGTTAAATTATATTTTTATAAGTATAAGTTTTATGTTTAAAAGTTAAAATGATTTATGACTATACGAGGTACTTAAAAATATAAACCATTATGTTATTTATTTAGTTTTAGCACAATAATGACAATGGTGAATAATTTGACTTTTTTTACTATTTCAATCGATTTTTCACAACTATTACTATTTGGTCTAGTAAAAGGTGTAATACTGTTAAGGTCTGGTGGACTGGAAAATTGATATTGAAAATAAAACTCTTAAGCCTATTTTTTAGACATTTATTTTCTTTGGTTCAGGTAATTGATTCATATAAGATACAATTGTTAGTATTGTGAATGCTAAGTGAAACTATTTTGGCCTTAAAACGTTTCATTATAAATTACCATTTGTTATGTCATGTTATATTCAAGGTAATCAAATTGCAGTACTTAAATATTTGTAATAAATAAGTATATTTTATGTGTTAACTGTAAAGTAAAAATTTGAAACTAATAAGCGATCAGACCTTGGATGTATTTAAGTAGAACTACTTACAGACTATTTATATAGTTAGAGTTTAAATAATCTAGAATCAAAGATTAATATTATTATAATTTTATTTTAATACATTTAAAATAAGGTGACTGGATAGGAAAATGTCAACAATCTAAATTGTTATGGTTCTGATTCAATATTAATGACTTTAGTTTTTGACTAGAAATTGAGTTAGAACTTTACATGTATTCATTTTTCTGAATTGAAGATTTGCATCGTTTTTCTTTTTAAGTGCCCGATTGTTCGTAACTGTGTGATAATCGATTTTGAACACAAAGGACGACATCAAAAGTGTGAAAATGGAACGGTTTTCCTTCAAACAATCTACTTTCCATTGTGTACATGATGTCAGTATGATTATTGTGTTCAGCTTACTGAAAAATTACTCTTAATTTGTTTTCGGGACTGAGAAGGAGGATACTTTACTTTATTGTCAATAGGTTGTTTTCTTAAAATTTAAATATAAACAACATTTTTATGAAAACCCAAGTTATTCGTATTGATATCCCTCCTAATATCAACCATTGCTTTATGTTAGTCTTTTATTGTTTTTTATACATAGAGGTTCATTTTCTTAAAATAAAAATATTACCTAACGCACTATTACAATTATTTAATTCTGTTTACAAAGTATGTTCTGTATGTCTTGAGTATATTTTTAATTGTTAAATTGTTGTTTTCTGAATCTGGTATAATTCCGCCTTGGAAAAATACTTTTACTCTAAATTAATAGAATATGATTTTATTTTAAACATATGTTCGTAATATATTCAATGACGTCTAATTCTGATTATATGTATGGATGCGTGAGTATTAAAATTGTAAAATTGATACAATGTTTATCTTAAGTATTTATATTGTTTCTAATATTATTAAAAAAAAAAAAAGAAAAATATTCATATTCGTTAAATACATGTATGAAAACTTATATGTATTTTCAAGTAGGTATCTGGTAAACATTATCAATGGGTTTTTATCTTCCGTCAAAATAAGATTCTTTTTATACGTTTTTTGTACCATACGCTGTATTATGGCCTATGGAAATTAAATATATTTTATAAATTAACATGTTCAGTATAATTTATAATGAAAATAATTACATTGTGTTTCATTGTGAAGCTGATTATTGGCATATTATAATGTGATACATTTTGTACATAATATATTATTCTAAGACTGCATCATAGGATTATATTTTTAATTTTCCGGCTGTGAGATAAAACTATCTATTAAATTGTGCCTTCGACGCAAGTCGTATTATGAGATCCGATTGTTATTTATTTTGTTATTAGCTCTACAGTTTGCAGCAACAATACCTAGACGATGCGTACTTGAAAAGATTTTGGTTACAGGTCAATTGTTATTGTCAGAGCGGTTCAGCTGGAAAATCGGGGCTCTGGATACCGAGGGGGAAGGGTAAACAACAATAAGATATCCAATTATTTGGCTCAGACCAATTACCGATTGGATGTGCGCCTTGGGTTTCCCGATTATGTAACCGCATATGCGCCACATAATCTTCAAGGACGGTCAGAACATTTTTCATGTACTTTTTCCAACCACCGTATAATACACGTATATAATATTGTGTATAAATGAAAGTATTCGAATTATTTTAAAATAATGTTATGTTATATTGGTTACAATCGTTACGGATAAATAAATTCTTCGTTCAGTACGTCCGGATAGAGAATATGGTAAAATTACCTCAAAAAAAGAGGTCGAGAAAGAGAGATAAATGACTGATATTTGTTTATATAGATTGTGTATTGTAAATGTTAAATTCGTTGAATTTTATCTGATAATAAATTGCGTTTCAAATACATAAGCAGAAATTTGGTGAGATTTGTGGGGGGGGGGGGCTGAGCATTATTTGTTTATTATACCTATAGATACCACTGTGCGCAATTATTTCAACTAGGCAATTTACGAAGTTTGACAATTTGACATTTTTAATCAACAATTTAAACAAAAAAACAATTAGGTGCCTTATCTTAAAAATTTTTGGAGTAGGTATTCTAAACAGAAATTATTAAATTATACAACCTATACGGGTATCGTTACAGGTCATGACAAGAAGTTTGTAAAATCTTATGAATTTGATTTAATTTTTATCACAGAATATTTTTTTTTAATTCAGTTATTAAAAATGCATTTTACGATTATATTAATTATTATATTTTTAGTCACATAAAAATTTTTAGGGCTAGGAGGGCTAAGACCTGTACTTTATATTTCTGGGGGCTTAGTCCCTCCCCGATTTCCGCCTATGTTCAAATATTTACCGCATTTAATCGTTGAATTTATAACGATGTATATGTTTTCCACAGCACATTATACACGTTATATGTATAAATCATATATATTAATACATTTAAATTAAGACATATGCGAAAAAGAAACTTGCGTGCGATTGTGATTACATTAATCAACACCCACTGAAGTTCTAAAAAAATATATTACATCCACTATATATTTTTTGAACAAATGATCGCATTTGTAATAATTAAATATTAATAGGATAATTAATGAATGAAATAAAATATAATAATTTTATATATATATATATAATAGTTTTCGTACTTATATCGTAAAATTATACATAAGGTACTTTACAATCATATCTTGGCTAGAAACCTCTGATTTTAGTATCGTTAATATCCAAAGACACAATATGGAATTACACTGGGTGTTAAATCTTGTAGCATCTCATCACTCCAAAATAACGAACCCACTTAAAATCTTCTATTCAATTGTTATTTGATTATTTAGATTACAATAATTACCTTCTACGTGTATCAAGGTTAAAACATATGGTTATTATAAACTACAATGGGTTCTTAATTATAAGAATTTAAAAGTAAGGTTAGGTTAAATTTTGAATCTTTTTCCAAACATTTTTTAGGGGAATTAATTTTTGTTTTGAACTATCAGGAAAATGGAAAGTGAAGCATTAAGTTTCTTGAAAAATAAAAAGTGAAGGTGATTATACCGCAGTTGACCTGTAAACTTAAGAGCAACTCACGCTCTAATCCTTTGATCTATCTCGTATCATTCCTTTTAAAGACCCCTGGCAACTCTTCAATTGCCGTAATGGTACTATAATCTCTTGAATTCAATATTGTTTATAATCATCGTCCATTAACTTACGGTAGCCCTCCTTGTAATGTTTCCGAAACAATATAGGTATTCACTATTATATATTATGTGTATGCGGTTTAAGTTACATTGCACGTAGTGCAATTAAATGTTAAATCGTTTGATATTATACGTTGAACATTGAGAGCATTATAGTCCACTGTGAATAATACATTTCAGAATTCACGTGCATGGCAGTTCAGGCGCTTACAAACAGTTTTATTAATAGTTCTTCGTTTTGAAAAAAATATTTTTTTTTTTGGAAACTTGGAGACAAATGTTTCTCGGAGTCGAATTATTTGTCTGGGTTTGATAGGTACAACAAAACATTAACCGCGTCAGAATAAATCTTTTGAAATGTGGTTCATTTAGATTTCTTGGCAATATCACAACGGTCCATTAAATGATCTGCTTTAATATCCCTTGTTAATTTCCACTGACAAATCACCGGTCATTTTTATCTCGAGAACCTATTTTTTCTCTGCTAACAACGTGTAATTCGCAGCGTAATGGAATCCTGTATATAGCAGTTTGCTAACTGCAGTAGTTGTTCAACCAGAGAACACGGTTCTTATATGCGTGTACATATTACTATATTA